GGCCGCCTAGAAAGTCTAAGGCTGTCAACCGGTTGTTCAAAATGAGAACCCCAAGCCCCAGGAGGGAAAGGGGAGACCAGGCTGTCCGTTAAGCTGCAGAGGAGGTGAGTTTGGGAGTGAGAACTCGGGAACCCTGGCTGGTACCCAGATAACCCTAACCTCATATGCAACAGGTGGGAGGGCCACCCCACTGCTCTTGGGTTGAAGCAAAATCTGCCTTTTAATAGGTGAAAATTCCGGCCTATTAGATAAATGCTACGTGGCAGACTACGCCCCACAAACATCTCTGGTTTTCTTTGTGGACTTCAAAGAGGGGCTCTGTGGGCCTGGTTGCCTTGGGAGCAGCCTCAAGACTGCAGGTTCTATGGCCCCTCCTGGGGGGCCTGCTTCCAGCAGGCTGACTCTCAGCCCGGTGGGTGCTAGGACAGCCATTTTATCCAGAGAAAGGGGTCTGGTGGCAGAGGGGAACCTTGAATCCAGGCCTCTACCAGCGACACCGGCCTTCACTGGCCCATTTTTACCTTGAAACCCTTACTCATGCATAATCCTAATCTATGCTTGCTCTTAAGCCTACGCGTGCCTGGATTCTGAACTCTTGTTCCAACCTTGTGACTGATGTGTTCTATACCTCAGGTCAAATCTCTTGTCCTGCCTGCCCTACACAGGCTCTCCTGTCTCTGACAAGCTTCCATTCTTCCACTTCCTCATCTAAGAAGTCTTCTGTGATTCACTCAGCCCTACTAAGGCCTTTTCCCTTTGTGGCATGACTTATCACCATCAACTTTGAGATGTGAAAGTGAGCCCCTGGGGGCCAGTTCAGCTGGTAGAGTCTTGGGCTCAAGACTTGCCTCTGACTTCTAGACTTTTCCCTATCTTTGGCATGGTTATAGTAATAATAGCTCCTTAAAAGTCTGTTTTCCAGAGTTTATGAAGCTGTTCTGCAGAAATGCAGGTGTGCATCTCACCCAGTGTCCCACTGGTCTGCCTACCTGCCCACCCATTTTCATCCACACACCTACCCTCTCAACTCTATCTTTTGTCCACATCCATTCAGCACATATCCTATGCCATGAGTCAAGGAATAGCCCAATCCTTCCGTGACCTGGAGAGGAATTCCTTCACTGTTGGGGGAAGAAGAGATAGTAACAATATAGTGTGATAAATATTGTAACCAAGGAGACCAAGGTAGTGGCCGCTGGGTACCAGAGAGAAGAGAGTGTGATGCCATGACAGAAAATCTACTGCCTGGAGGAGGCGCCCTTGGAACTGGCCTTAAGGGATGAGTGGTATTACTAGGTAGAGGAGACACCCAGCAACGAAAGGGCACTGGCACCAGGAGGCTGCGTATCCTTGGGTGGTGGGCAGGACAGAAGGCTTAGAAATCACAGGGGGATAGAATGTGCTCCTGGGAGTTGAGGCTATGACTCATCCCCCAACCTGTTGGCACATGTTTGGTGGACATTAAAATGCCAATAAGCTGCACCCTTTGAGCCTTTTCTTTCTGTTATACCAAGCACTTTCTATAGCTCTCATTTAGTCCCCACAACAATTTTGTGAGGTTATCCTCATGTTTTCTTGAGGATATGAGGTTTCAAAGGGGAGATCGTTGGCCCAGGTCACATGGAAGATGATCTGGGACTCAGGTGTAGATGGTCGCTTCTTACTCTGGACTTTATGCTCATAATAACTTGCCAGTGATGCCAGCTCTCCACTGGAAGTTGGCAGCCCTTGGCAGTAATTCTGCTCTGATAAGCCAATACTTCCAGGTCCTTACATGAGAGCCAAGAATGAAGCAAGCCTCCAAGTCCACCGGGCAGCCAAGCCTGGCTGAGCAAGTCAAAAAGGTTAAGATAGAGATAATGTTGAGATAGCCCTAAAGAGATTAAGATGGAGGTAAGGTCATACCTGAGAGGAAGAGGGTCAGCGTTGGTCTTTGGGAAAATGAGAGTTGCATAAAGCAGAGAAATGAAAGAACTATTCCAGGTAGAAGGGAGCGGGACCATGAATCCCACAGACCTCTCAGCCAGGTAGGTCTTCCAGGACAGAGAGCCACCAACCCACTGAAGTGTACATTCCATGAGGCCAGCTCCCAGAACAGGGCCCAGGAAGTAGTAAGTGCTCAGTTAACATTCGCTGTACAGGTAGAGAATGCTCTTCTCCTGACCCTAAGCATTTGCCTTAAGATCTTATTTGAGGGGCTGGAAAAGCAGGTCATCCTAGAAAAATATTGGGGGTGGGGGGGATGTGGGGGGGGAGTTTTGAAGAGTACCCAGTGTGAGCCTCTGAGAATCCAAGGGCCTGGTTCCAGCTCCTCCTCCAACTTGCTCTGTGATGTTGGGCAAGGAGCCTTCTGAGTCCCCGCGCAAAGGGGAGATCACCCATGGGGTGCCTTGTTCTCTCAAAAGTACCAATATTAAGACTTTCTGCCTACTTCTCCACATACAGAATCTTACCCAAGAATATTTAAGGCAGTTGGCAACCAAGAAGCTACAGCAAGATGGCAACATAACCCAGATAGAAGAGGCCATTGACAAGCTCGAGGCAAGTGGCCATTTCTTCCTTATTCTTCCTGAGATGCCCACATTTCCCTCAGACACAGGGTTCTCCCCACTGTGGAACCAAGGAAAAATAAAAACTCAAAGGGACACCACATCTTACTTCAAAAAAAAAAAAACAACCTCAAAGGGGGCAAAGGGCAAATTAGTTGGGTGGAGGCTGGTGCTTGTAAGTTCAGGGGACCCCAAAGAAAAAGAACACAAAATTGGGTGCAAGCCCACTAAGGTATGAGGCCCAGTGGGGGTCCTGAAGCCCTCGTTTTGTTAGCTTGATCGAGAATCTGCCTCCACCTAGCGCTCTCCTCTCACCACTCCTGCCAACGTGTTCTTGGAAGGACCAGTGTTCCACGCCGGGCACCCCCAAGCTGCCTTCAACAAAGCAAAACACTCTTAAGGAACATGCCAACATGCCAATAACCCTTCAGATTTCACTGACCTATTGAAAGTACATAGGATTTATATATAGATGTCTCATAAATATGAACTTTCTTCAGGCTTCACCTTTCAGCCAGTGTTTATTTACAGGGAATCTCTTGGGAGTTTAAGTGGGGGCTGAGCTTTCTTTGTGGCCGGTTCTGTCTCTCTCAGCCCAGGGTCTGGCGGGGTGCCCTCCCAGGGCTGCCTCACTGAGGGTTCTATGAACCGGGGGTGACCCACACAATCAAGAGGGAGGGGCCCTCTTGATTTTTACATCTGAGGATTTCGTTTTTTCTTTTTAATGTTGTGGTTTCATTTCAAAATGAGCTGATGGTATCAGCACTTCTGTACAAAGTAGAAAAGGGGGTTTTGCATGTCACCCCATGGGGTTTTGTTGTTTAAGACTGTGCCAGGCAGCAGCAGCCCTTCTGCAGGTGTTCCTCTTGGCCTTCCTTCCCCGGCAGCGGCTCCGTGCCCACCCGTGACCACCAGCACTTCACGTCACTGACCTCCCTTTGCAAAGCAACAGGGCCGCTCCTTCCACTGCCCCCTGTGGCCACACAGGCCGGCTCTTTCTGCCTGCTTGTGTCTCTGCAAGTGTCCTTTTCTTCTTCTCTCCCTTTTTATAATAAGTCTGCCCTTTCAGGTATTAAAAAACAAAAAAGATCATCACACGCAGTTGATGGTAAAGCGCCTCATCATGTTCAGCATTTGCAGTTACATCTCCCTGTCCCCATCCACCGTGCTTTGTGAAAGCCTTTTTCCTAACGAACGTTCCCAGCATTTCCAGTGTTTCATTCATGTGACATAAGACAGCAGTGAACATTTCGGCACCTTCATGCTTTGGGGACATATTCTTAGAAGTGACTCACCCATGTGGTCAGACATTTGTGAGGGTGTTTGGACCTTCTGCCACACTGTGGGGGAGCAGTTTGTGACAGAAGGATGGGACAACCACCACTGTTATTTGCTTATACAGAGCAACACCAGGAAAAGGTCACTGCCCTGAAAATTAATTCTTACAACAGCACTGTAAACAAAAGCCAGTATTGCATGTGTGGTTCAAAGTCTGCTGTTCAGAAACCAATGACCAGGCTATCTTTCATTTCCCGAGAGCAATTAAGGGTTATGAATGCCAAACAACACCCACGAAATGACTTCCCCTGAACCCTGGTTAAGCCACCATGGCTCTTGAGGATGCAAACCCACGCAGGTGTAAGGAGATGCAACACTTGAGGGACTCCACCTTTTCATTCACAGGGGATAAGATGACCCTGTGACTGAGTGGTTATGTTCTTCTAGAATGTGCCTCTTAGGAGGAGGAAATAATTTATTGCAAGCAAGGTACAGGTGAATCCAGAGCCACTGCTGAATCCATCCAAGTCCACCCAGCAGGACAATAACCTCTGTGAGAGTTTTGGGCAGAGGAGCATGAGTTTCGGGCAGCAAGAATGAGGTGGAGAAGCAAGTCAGGGGTGGTGGGGCAGTTAGCACCTTCAGGAAGGCACTGGGCCCAGTTTACACAGGCCAAAGGACAAGATGATCTTAGCAGGGGACAGAGGCCAGGGCCACCTAGCAGGAGCTGAAATCAGAGTGGTCTGTCCTGGGAGGGGGTGGGGGTAAGCATGAGACTTGCATTATAGAGGGGACTTAGGGATGTAGCCACTCCTGGAGACACCCCTGCTGAGAGGTCACCCGGGCTACTCCCTTCCTCTTGCCCTCCCTCTTCCCTCCAGTTCCTTCTCCCCCCGCCATCCCCCTACCCCCCTCCCCCAGGAAACCCAGATTGAGAGAACCTGAAAATTAGGCCTGCAGGAGTCAGCCCCTCTGCCCTGCAGGGCAGAGTGGGGGAGGACTGAGAGCATAAACCAGCACTCCTCCCACAGGGGCAGTGACTGGGCAGAGCTGGCATGCTTCCCTGCCCCTGGGGATATCCCTCAGAGATGCCCATAACAAGGTTGTCCTAAGTCATATTGAGTTTTCAGCATAATGACTGTTAGGACCTCTCATGGGCTCCTTACCCTACTGGGGCCCAGACAGGCCTTCACGGGGGGACTGGGCAGAGATGGACTCGCATAGCAGCCAAATCCACCACTCTCCCATGACCAGCGCTTCATCGTTACTCAGGGTCCTCTTAGCCCCTTCTCCACTAGACTCTCAGGCCCTCACCCAGCCCCAACCTGCTCAGCCATGTCCAAATCCCGGCCCAGTACAAACTGGGGTTGTTTCACTTTGACCCAACTGGGTCAAAACCACAGTTTTCTTCCTTTTTTTCTTGCCAGAATCCTGTCTCCCCTGGGCCCAGCCTTTTTATTTTATTTTTTTAATTATATTGCATAAATCATCTTGCACTTTAAGTTTTCTGGTGAATGTCTTCAGTCAGTTATTACCAGTGATTGAATGAGAACAATGTGTTGCATCCCTGAGTTTATTTTGGATCGTCTTTCCACAGTGGACCTGTGGAAACTGCTTGACGCATTTGCTCTCTTGGTTTGTTGACACAAGCTATGCAACGTCTATCGTCTGACAGATTCCGGGTAGATCAGGAAAAGCTCTGAAAAATCAGAATTTCCACTGCTTACTTATGTTATGACCTCCCTTTTTTGTATAATCATAATATCAAAATATTCTGAGCAACTTTCAGCTTACAATTGGAATGCCTCAGCTGCATAAGACCTGCCTGCCTTGACAAGCAAGCACTGCACCAGGGTGAAAAATTCCCCTGAAGTCAAGTGACTTGACTACTGACTGATAAATAAAAGCAAAAGGGCTGTTTTTGCAAAGTCTCTCTCACTGCCGGATGGAGGATAACCCAAATCTTATCATTCTATTATCTTACCTAGCCTTCTATTCAGCTTCTAAAGAATTACTCAAACTTCCTATTGTTTGGCCTTTAGATGTGAAAATTCAACCAGGTTGCCTGTTTTTAAACTAGTCAAGTTTTCTACCTGCTACACCTTAAAGGAATCCACAAAAGTCTTCTGGCTAGTCTTTCAGGATTCTACTATGTAGTCTTTAGATAAGGAAATTCACCTATGTCTCCTATTCAGATATTTGATTAGCAAGGAATTTCCTCTTCTGTCTCCCAGGATGACTCAGGTAGAAAAACAAAAACCCATTAAGTAGTAGATAAGGTTTAAGGGACTTCTCTTAGTTGATCTCCACTATAGTAATATTAGTCATAAACTTTGTGCACTTATGTATCTGTTTTAACCTTGATTGATTTTAGAATGTTATATCTCAGCTAAAGGGCAATATGACCCTAAACTGTTCTTAGAAAAAAAAGATGATTGTAATCTCTCAGCCCAGTTCCTGTGCTGATGTCATCCCACTGCTTGCTCCTAATGTATAAAATAAACCTCTGCTGAAGGCTGAACAGGAAGACTTGCACCCAACTCCAACTCCCGTGTCTTCCTCGCTCCCTTTCCCCTTTTTTCTCCCTTTCCCCCTGTTTTAGGAATCTCCACTCGCCGACGCCTTCCCACGTTAGGGTCCTGCCTGTCTTGCTTCCAGACACCTCAATAGTTGGAGCTGGTCTCCAACAGTTTGCATAGAAAGGTCCTTGTTTACACATGTTGCCTCCAAAAGTATAACCAGGGCTGAAACCAAAGGCTTACAGGTGGTGCAGGTGAAGATGAAAAGCCCCAGGTGAAATACAGACAAAGATTGGGTGGGGTGGAGACTCTGATAGGAAATACAGGAGACTGCAGAAGCCCCTCCCAAAAGTCAGCCTCTTTGGGGATTTTTCAGTGTTTCCAGATTTTCAGCGATTCCATAATTTTAGCGATTCCAGGAGCAGCCATTTCTACCCCCACCATGCTGATCTTCTAGAAGGCTGTTGCAGGCCTCTGAAGGACAAGGAGAGGCTTCCCAAAGCCAACGTCAGAGACGTAAAATGCGTAGGCTTTGCAGATAGCTGAGCGACTGAAAGTGTTCCCAGATTTGCAGCGGTGATGGCCTGGAAGGGAAGGCCGAGACCCAGAGCCTCTCTGAGCTGTGTGAGTGTGGCTGTCTGTCAGGAGGTTTGGCTGCCGCAGCTTCTGATTCTGTGTAGTACTGTGCTGGGACATCTCGGCACCTCTGGTGAGTGTCTTCTTGTATCTTCTGCTCTCTTCATGAGTTTTGGTCCCTGACTATTATCTGGCTTCCACTGCCCAAGGCCCTCAATGGCAGGAAGACGCCATCTTGGCAGCGTGGCCTTTTGTTGGGAATGGGGGCTCCCCAGCTTCAGTAGCAGGAAGATACCATCTTAGACACCGTTTGTTTGATTTTTTTTTTTTAAAGATTTATTTATTTATTCATATAGAACTGGGGTACAAGCCAGAGATGCGGAGGGTGAGAGGATTCACCAGAGACAGAGTCAGGAGCAGAACAGGCAGATCGACGAAGTACACTGCTGAGGGGAGCAGCGGGCGGGTCAGGAGAGGTCTGCCACGCCATGTGGTCACCTCCGGGGCAGGCGGGGATCGAACTCATGCTGAAGTGGCTTTAGCTTCTTAGTGCTGTGTTTTAATTCACTGCCACCAGGGAGAGCCCTGTTTGATTTTTTTTTTTTAATATTTATTTATTGGGCCCTCCCTGGTGGTGCAATGGGTTAGTATACAACACTTCAAGCAAACTACAGCCACTTCAGTGCAAGTCTTTTAAAAATGTAAAGATTTATTATGTATGTACACAAGAACTGGCGTACAGGCCAGAGGTGAGCGGGGGAGAGGATTTACCAGAGTCAGAGTGGGGAGCAGAACAGGCAGATTGACTGAAATATACTGCTGAGGGGAGCAGGAGCCTGTCAGGAGAGGGTTGCTGTGCCATGTGGGTCACCTCCCTGTCCTGGGGATCAAACTCATGCTGCAGTGGCTGTGGAATAGCTGCAGAGTGCTGTGCTTTAACCTGTTGTGCCACAAGGGAGGGCCCAACACCTTTTGTTTTAGAACTTTAAAGCACTGGCCACTGCTTTGGATGAGGGAAATGGCCACTTGTGGCCTCAGTGACTCTTGGTTTTTATTTGTTTGTTAAATAAATCCCATTATTGTTGTTTGCTGAACCTGTGTGATCTTGCAGGTGTGCATGGGTAAAGAACACAGGCAGCGACTGGTAAACTATTTGGTCCCTGACCGTGGTCAGTTTTAGTGCCCCTTATTGCTCATTATCAAAAGGTGTTTAATGAGGGGTTTGTGGCATATTGCCTTTCCTTCATTTGGTCATTCAATAAAGGTATTTTGTGTCCAGGCTCAAGGAGTCATAGAAACCATGTTGTCAATGCAGAATAATCTCCAGGCTAGCCCAAAGTCAATTTCATCTATGTGGCACTCAGTGACAGAAGCTAGGCCCAAGCAGCCCCTCGATGCTGCCAAACAACACCTTCCTGTCCAGGCATCTCAGGGGAACCTGGCACCCCCAGGCCTGCCCCAATACCAGGACGCATCCTGCCTGCCGTGTGGACTGACATATATTTGGGCTGAGATAAAAGCTGCTTTAAAAAAAAAAATTCTGGCCCTCCCTGGTGGCGCAGCGGGTTGAAGCGCGGCACTGAGAAGCTAAAGCCATTTCCACATGGGTTCGATCCCCGCCTGCCCCAGAGGTGACCACATGGCATGGCAGACCTCTCCTGAGCCACCCGCTGCTCCCCTCAGCAGTGTGCTTCGTCGATCTGCCTGTTCTGCTCCCCACTCTGTCTCTGGTGAAACCTCTTGCTGCCCGGAGCCTCTGGCCTGTACCCCAGTTCTGAATGTACAAATAAATAAATCTTTAAAAAAAAAAAAGATTCATTCTCTATAAAAAAAAAAATTCTGCTGTATGTTTTAACTGTATGAGTAGTATATGAACACATGTTCATTCAAAAATATAAACAATAGCTTATTAGATTACAGTATAAAACTACAAAAAAAAGAAAAGAAAAAAAAAAACAGTGAGTGATCCCCCTTCACCATCCTCCAATCCCATGCCTCTTCCCAAGCATGGCCACAGCTCCTATTTTTTTTTTTTCCCACAACTCCTATTTCAAATGCATTTGCAAGTCTGTGGCGTGTATTTCCATAGCAGTTTCTGTGTTCCTTGTACCTAGCTGGGAACAACCATGTATAGTATTCTGCAGCTTTGCTCTTTTTCACTTGGTGTCTTGGAGAACTTTCCGTGGCTGTATCTGTAAGTACACTGCATCATTTGAGGGCATGGGTCTAAAAATACATAACATAAAACTTATCACTTTAGCCATTTTTAAGTATATAATTCAGCTGTATTATATTCACAATGTTTGCACGCATCACCATTGTTTCTAAAACTTTTTTATTACTCCAAACATAAATAAACTCTGTAACCATTGAGCATTTACTTCCCCCCACCACCCCTCAGTCCCTCAGTCTCTGGTAACCCTGAATCGACTTCTGCCTATGAATCTGCCTGTTCCAGATATTTACATGGAAGCAGAATCATGCAGTATTTGTCCTTTTTGCACTGGCTTATTTCACCTAGCAACTTATCTTCAAGACTGGTGGTCTAGCCTGCAACAGAACAGCATTCTTTTTAATCCCTCTGTGTCATTTCATTGTCTGAAAGCAGCATAATGTATAAAATAGACGCATGTGTGAAAACATGTCTAGGATGGATTCCTGTACCAGAGGGTCTTCATGTGTGATCCAGAGGGGTTTCATTTTTTATGTGGTCTAATCTGCCAAGGCCCCCTCTTCCCACT